CGTCACATTATAACGCCCCCACGGCTGAAAGGACGAGCATGTTTGGTGGGACGGGGATTCGAACCCGCGACCCGCAGATAGCGAGTCGAGTGCCCTAACCACCTGGCCAACAAGTATTTTCGGTGTATTTCTTTTCCTTTTTTCGGGGCTGTTTATCGGTTAAAACCGCAAATCAGAAACCCTAGATATAATATCCTGTTTAGTGACAAATTTTTCTTAAGAACGCAGCTACATTTTGCAGAAACCTAAACTTCAAAAGTTTTGTACTGTAGACTAAAACTGTCTTAAGCCTCCAACACTGGCTTAACAAATAAAGAAAAAACCTTTCAAAAAAGAAGTAAATGTACGAATGGCTAATATCAATCCTTCAAAAACAATGCAAACAAGATAGTAGGGATGGCATTTACATCATCCCTACATAATAGCACAGGCACATAGTGTAGTAGAATGTTAAACAGACAAAAATAGGATAAATTATAATCAATTGTGATTGAATAGTTATATATTTTGCTATATGTTAATTATTGTTTGTGCTATTATGTAGGGATGAAACAAATGCCATACCTACTATCTTATTTGCATTGTTTTTGAAGGACTGATATTAGCCATCCCTACATTTACTTCCTTTTTGAAAAGTTTTTCTTTACTTGTTTTTAATGCAGTGTTTCAATGGACAAAGGAAGGTTGTGTTTGTAATCAAGTTCTAAATACAGTGAAGTTCCAACTGTAATATTTATTGTTTAACTATTATTGGTTGGTAATTCCTGTTTCACCCTGTACTTAAACTTTTTAAATGAACACCATATTTCTCTAAGAAAACTAACTTGAAGAGGTAATGATAACAACATTTAAACTAGAATTATGATTCTTTTTGTATAATTAATACTAGCTATTAATAATACTTATAAAAGCGGATACTCCGTTTGAAACTATGTCACCTCAGTGAAATTGGTTGACACCACTGTTTTGGTTTTTGAGTTATCATATATTAAAAAAGAAGCAAAAAAAAGGAAAGCTTTAGTTGCTATACTATATTGTGTATCGTATTGTAAAGTTCTGATGGCCTATTGAGGAGATTATTAAAATACCATTTCGATGAACAATCCAGACATGCCTTCATAAGCAGTGCTACTTCCTGCCTGATAACTTGAAAGTGAACAAAATAAAAAAGGCCTGGCATGGCCAGATGGTGAGGGCGCTCGACTCGCAATTTGCGGGTCGCGAATTCGAGAGCTGTTTAGAAAAATAGATTTATATACTGCGTAAAATATGATGTTTTATATTAAAAAAAACAGACAAATCCTCAAAATCAACTGAAACTTTTCAACATTCATTAGTCCCTGGTATAATGAAGCATAAAGATTAATAAATAAGTTTGATTATCTCACATTTGTTGCTGTAAGAAATCTGTTGTTTGTTTTTTTTGTTGTTGTTGTTTTTTCGTTTACGAAAAACAAATGAATAAATATACTGTTGTTTTTTCTTGGTCGATTTTAATGAAGTTAAAAGAAAACAGAAGCAAAACATTTTTTTATTTGTAAGTCAAAATATGTATCAAAAGAACTTTTAGTACTACTAATATGCTCAGAATGATTATTCACGAAATTAATATATTTTTATGGATCCAATCGATGTAGTTTTGAATTCGCACATAGACTCCAGGATTTCCGGATTCACTACAGCCAATACCCCACGATACAATCCCAGTAATGACGTATGTGCTGTTTGAACGAGGGCATACCAGAGGTCCACCTCCGTCACCCTAATGAAAAAAAATACATAAAAATATAAAACACCTTAAAGTATTTCATAGCCATGTAATTTATAGCCATGACAAAGCAATTCATAGAATGGCTTGCAGTGTTTTTTCAAGTACAAATTTTTAGCTCCATCGTCTCTTTGAGATCTAATTACAGTTTTTGGGCTGGGGGTGGGGGCAAACCCTTTCGATTGATTATTTGACTACGCCCAAGGACTCATAGACTAATTTACTCTAACCCTGCCCAAAATAAGTTCATTTTGAGGGTAGACTGATAGAGATCCTGATGAGTCATAAAATCGAATCAGATACACGAGCGCCCCACGCTGGGTATTGCTGACGCCTAAAACCATAACTAATAAAAAGGGGACAAAAAAGGTCTCATAGATTAATTTACTCTACTTCTACCTAAAATAATTTCAAGTGCCGCGGCTACTGAGGTTTCCCTCTTGTTTAAACATGCAAAAAATATATATTATAAGTTATTACATATCAATATATAATGTCAATACCTAAAAGTTAACAATATAAATACAACAGTGTAATTAAACCAAGAATAAAAATAATGTTAATTATTTTTGTTGTGATTGCTTTTATTTCCCATCACGAGATCATAACGTGTTAAACCTTTTTTATGAATTGCACTGTATATTTGGTCTTTTATGTATTTTATTTTAATGCCTCAATGAAACGGTTCCTTTTTATAAGTTCAACCAAACTGAATATTGATATTTAAAAAAAAAGTAAACTTTGGAATATATGCACAAGAATATCTTCAAAAAATGTATAAGCATAGATGTGAGGAAGAAATACGAAACGATATTTATTTTATATATGTTAACACTTGACTTCCAATCATTGTTAAATTTACCGATACTTAAACATCTTGAAGGTTTATTCAAAACTGTTAGAAATCCATTGTTGTTGCTATATTTTCAATGTCATAGTTTGGTTCTTTGCTAGGGTAACCTGCTGACCACAATGATGGAATAATTTAGAAACTTCGTCTAATATCTAGAGGCGAGGGTAACTTATTTATGAGTTAATGTAAACTGTTGAAGGAATCAGCAGCAAAGTGAGTTTGTCAGTCAGTTTATCCGTTCAATGTCAAAAAAGTTGTTCACAGTTTAGTGTTAAAAGCGAAATTTATCGTGTCTATTGACAATGAAATTCAGTAAGCTTATTTTGTGAGTTAGGCGTATTTACTGTATACTCGGAATTTCTGTTAAAACGTTGTTTACGAACTTAGGCCTACAACTGTAAATGAAAGTAACCTATAGAAAACGTTAAGGAAGAAATAAACAAATTTACACTGATAGGAATTCGCATTATTTTTACCGCATAATCCAAAAGAACACGTTACAACATTATTAACCAATATTAAAACATGAGCAACTGCTGTTATCGCCAACTAATGCTACAACAAATACCCGTAGAAATAATTATATTCTGCAAATTAATTCGTCAGTTTTGACTTTTGTTTTCTAAATAAAAAAGATACCAGTGAATGGTAACTATTTTCACTTTTTGGTCTAACAGCTCATAAAAACTATATGTAATAATAACTGAATGTTTGTGGTATAATATATTTGTCTGTATGCTTGTTTGAATTTCACGCAAACCTACCACATAGTTATGTGCGCTGGCCTTCCTTAATTCAGAAGTGATAGAATAGATGGAAGGCATCTACTCAACGCCAACTCATGAGCTACTCTTTACCAACAAAAAATGGGATTGGTCATTACATTACAACGTCCCTATGGGTGAAATGGTGAGCATGTTCAGTGATTGGTTTCGAATACCCTAAGCACCAGGTCATGCCAGACCCTGGTGGTATAACAACTCATATTTTAAAAACTTTCTGTTACTGTTAGTCAGGCACACAACCAGCATGTTTTTAAGGGAGGAGCTCACTTTCAGTCCACCAAAAGAAAGGCCTTCAGGAATATACAAATACAGCTGATACGAAAATGCATATGTATATTATCGATTAAAATATTTATAGTTTTATAAGTTATTATGTAATATGAAATCATTTTTCTTTTTCCCTTATTACTTTAAATAATTTATTAATATTTATTTTATTATATGAAATATAGTTTAGAAATACAGTTATGTAACGTATCATGCAGAAAAATGTTAAGCATCTAAATGGTGTATTTACGTGTTTTACACTCACAAAAAAGAAACCTATCATTCTATAGGTATTTGAAGAACTTGTGGCATTCCGCCACAATTTAATTCTTCGTATTGTTAGCTGACACTGGTAATCTGGTACAAAAATGAACAGTATTGTTTAAAAATTTGTTTAACAACAAGTAAAAGCTTGGAATTGTCTATTCTTTCATTGGGGATGTGTCTGTGAGCCAGACTAGTTTCGGAGAGTTCCACTCCTCATCAGTGACCCTGTACATTACCACCAATAAAACTTCAGACCAAACCAAGCCTTTATAGTAATGAGGTATCGAAAATCGAAATGGTGGTAGTGTCAAGGGTTATTGATGAGGAGTGGAATTCTCCGAAACTAGTCTGGCTCAAAGAGACACTCCCAATGAAAGAATAGACAATTCCAAGCTTTTACTTGTTGTTAAACAAATGTTTAAACAAATCTATTCAATTATGTTGAGCACCTATATATGTAATAGCCAAATATTTGCTTGTATGTCTGTTGAGGTGAGATATTTCTGAATAATGAGCTGTGTTAAACACTAATGTCGAGGAGTTGGTCTGGTGGTTAGAGCGTTTGACTCGCAATCTGATTGTCGCGAGTTTGAATTCCTGTTCCACCAAAATATGCTCGCTCTTTCAGCCATGGGGGGCGTTATAATGTGATGGTCAATCCCACTATTCGTTGGTAAAACAGTAGCCCAAATTTGGCGGTGGGTGGTGATGACTAGCTGCCTTCCCTCTAGTCTTTCACTGCTAAATTAGGGACGGCTAGCGTAGATAGCTCTCGTGTAGCCTTGCGCAAAATTCAAGCCAAAGTCTGTCTGTCATGCTCTCTATCTCGTACACTGTTAACTCGTAAACGTAGAAAAGCAAAAAAAGCATATATCAAAATACTTCTTTTCAAGAGTACGTTACAGCAAAATTATTCATTTGTTTGCAATTTCTAAAATTTCAAATCGATATCTACATCGATCTGTCAATATTGAACAGTCAATCTGAGAAAAAACTTATTAAGAACAAAAATATTTATTTTTGTGAAGGAATTTCACGAAAAAACGGGACTTATTCCGTCAACTAATTGAAAGAAATAATTCGAAGATAGGAGTATGAACGGGAAAAACACATAAAAATAGGATGTATTTATTATTGTTCAGTTTATATAATTTTGTTTTTTAATTTTTTCGTGCCGGTATTATATATATGCATGATTTTATTGTACTCTGTCGAACAAATTGATTTTAATTGAATTGAATAGCTCCACTTTGATAGTTCTTATAGAAAAAAAAACTGTTGTCAAAAAGCGCTTACTTCGATAGCGGTATTTTCTTGTGCTCAGTAAAGTGACAAGGAATGGTGGCATTCCAGTGGTAAAAATCCCCTGGGTTACTTAGCGATCCTGAGCGCTCTATTGTGCCGAATGCACTCATTGTATCGAAACCAAAACATATTTGCCAATAATGCATTGCACTCAGTCTCCTTTTCTTAAAAACAAACTCAAAGCAGTTTTCCTTATTGAAATAACACATGGAATGACAAAAGACGGCTGTAAACGTCCCGCTAGACTATCATATTACAAAGGATTGGGTTGACTGCACATTGTATACGTATTCATCGCTATTTGTAGGAGAATTACCATTGAATTGTTTCGACGAGCGTCTGCTAATAATAAAATAATATGTAGGGTTCCAGAATAAGAGTCGCGTTTTCCTAAATCAATCCTAAGGATATAAGATAATATTAAAAATATTTTCATAATAGTTACTCTCAGAGAACTTGTATTTTTCACAGGAAAACGACAGGCGTTTCTTCTTGTAAATAAAAACTGACCATTATTATAAAGATTACATAAAAATAACTTACTGAAAATAAATTAAAAGTAATTTAACTGTATGGTATAGTTATAATAAGATGCAAAACGTCAATATTAATTATTCTTTTACACGAGTAGGTTGGATTTCTGCACCAAACAAAGAGTACTCACAATTGAAAATTTGAAGCAAAGCTGTAAATGTATTCCGTGTATGTTATAATGGATATTAACTGGATAATAAAAAATATCTTTATTTCTTATTGCTTTAAAGTGCTTAAGGTTAGAGATAAGCCCTACCTTTCGTTGCGTGTTTGTACTTAGCTTTGTTTACTAACTGCTTATGGTATAACTATTTCGTGTGTCTGTGTGTTTGTAAGATGTTTTATCCCAGTGAGTACTTTATATAAATATTCAGTTAATTGCAAGTGTTGTTACTGAAGAACGGTGCCCAAGAAAAATGTCTCTCTAGTCTCCGTTTTCCTTCATATTACTGTACACTAGTTAACATTTAGATATTCAGCTATTAAACATCACTAACCTTACAGGAGTCATGTCCTTGTTCACCGCCTGCGCATATAAAACCAGGGTACAGGTCGAACTGCATCCCAAGCCTTGTTCTTCGCAACTGTTCTTGACAGTGGGAGTTTTCAATTACAGGTACAGACACTTGTTTCATTACGTTCCTGAAACGTCCTTCTACAGCAGTAAAATTATCATAATAGAGTAATGTATATATATATATATATATATGTGAGGAAATAAAAACTAGACGCCTATTATGGTAAACATGTATATAGAATACTCTAAAAGTAAAAAGTTTAAAATTAAGAATACTTGTAAACATGCAAGCTTTATATTACAAATATAATATATATAAAAGCATTCGCACACAATGAAGATGTTTATGAAAATGTTTGACTAGTAAAAATTTATAAATTTCTAAACAACTTGTAATTATTAATCCATTTATCTAGTTAGACACACCTACATTTGTAACACCCTTTTGGTGTAAATATTAACTTAACTGTCTGAATAATGTTTATTTTTAAATCTATAATAATAAAAGAGTGTATCTGTTAGTCTGTGTGTGTGTGTGTGTTACTGCCACAGCTCCAAGAGGAAAGAACCTAGAAACTTGAAATTTTGCTCTCATATTAAGTGGACCCTGAGGGTGTGCAACTGGGTATTATTAATTATCCACGTGCGTGCGTGAGCGCATCTTTTTTTGAGGCAAACTAGTGAAAAACTACATAGAAAAGAATATGTGACCGCCATAGCTCTAAGAAGAAAGAACCTAGAAACCTAAAATTTGGCATCCATACTAAGTGGACCTTGAGGGTGTGCACCTGGATATTACTTATCTTATCCGCATAAATAACTAATAATATCCAGATGCAAACTCTCAGGGTCCACTTAGTATGGATGCAAAATTTCAGGTTTCTAGGTTCTTTCCTCTTGGAGTTATAGCAGTCACACACAGACACACCCTTTTATTATTATCGATTACTATAGGTATATCTGCTACATATAACTCATACACCTACTAAACTCCTCCTTATCCCTTCCTCTAACCCACATATACTATATGTATACTTTATTATGTATAAACTTACTAAATTCATCTTTGCCCCATCCTGTAACCCAACACATCTGCCCTTCAAATATGTCTGCTTGAGATGGTAAACATACTGTCTGCACGTGAGGATGAAACGAGACTTCTGAGCGTAGCCGAAGGATTGCGATATCATTCCACAGGTTTTCCTCTATATATTTTGGATGGACGATAATTTGTTCCACATAATATTCTTCATGTTTCAGTGATTCTGTCGTTTGTTGTGTGTCCCATTCACCAAGACGTACTACCAGTGGAAATTCATTATCTTTTCTAATAAATAAACAAGCAGTATTACATGCTTCTAATAAAGAAACAAACAAACAGTATTAGATGCTGCTGATAAACAAACAGCATTACAAGCTTCTAATAAACTGTTTAGTTAGATTGTTAGGTAAAGATTGTTTAGTGTAAGTGTTATCATTTAGTTTCTTTTAATATTTATTAAAATATTTAATGATTGTTTAATTTTTAAGATAGGAGTGTTGAAGATGGATTGTTTTAAAGTGTTAGTTGTGAAAAAATTCGTTACGTGACTCTGTATCAATCGTACGTTGTGTTTGCAATTACATTGTTGTCTAGGCTTTGCTAATATTGTTGACGTCACATTACTCGAATCTTCGGTGTTTTTCTCGTTATCTTAACTGGGTATTGTTACATTATAGCGTCGTAGTTTATATATTGCGTAGTTTATAGAACATTCCAGGCCTCAGTGAACAAGATATAAACATAGGCGACCAAGCGAGCGCAAGACAATGAAGTCAAGTAAAGTTTAGTCAGAATAAAAATAAAAAAACGTAAAGTTAGCCGGCGTGTGAGTGATTAGCCATAACGGGCAATATTTTAAAGTGAGTTTCACAGTTAAATAGAGATAAGTAGAATAATTTGTCTTGTCAAAGGGTGTTCTAAAGTAATTGAACCCATCTGTGTGGAGTTTGACAAAAGGAGATAATTATTTAAAGTTTGAGATAAAAGTGTGGTAACCCACGAGGTAACGTAAATCTATCACAGATTGTGCAGTAAGAAAGAGAGTAGAGAAAAATAGTTCATCTTGTCAATTGGATTCTAAAGTAATTGAATCAGTCTAAGTGGACATTTGATAGGAAAATAGAATTAATTAGAATTTCCGATAAAACGGTAATTTCCTATAGTGTAAAGAATTTTGTACATACGTTCTGAATATATTATTTTAAAACAAGTTGATTGTGTGCTGTCTGTTTATTGTTCGAATTTATCGCCAACAAGTCACAGACACCTACTGTAAAAGAATCTCAGCCCACATATAAAATCTCTGACACAAACAAACATTATTACATGATTCTAATAAACAAACAGTTTTACATGCTTCTAAAAAACAAACAGTTTTACATGCTTCTAAAAAACAAACAGTATTACATTCTTCTAATTAACAAACAAACAGTATTACATGCTTCTAATAAACAAACAAACAGTACTACATCTTTCTAACAAACAAACAGTACTGCATCTTTCTAACAAACAAACAGTACTGCATCTTTCTAACAAACAAACAGTATTACATGCTTTTAATAAAAAAAAACAGAAGGACATACTGCTGATAAACAAACAATATGGCATGTTGCTAATAAACATACAGTATTACATGTTTCTAATAAATAAACAGTATTCTTTGCTTCTAATAAAGAAACAGAATGGCATGCTGCTAATTAACATACAGTATTACATATTTCTAATAAACAAACAATATGGCATGTTGCTAATAAACATACAGTATTACATGTTTCTAATAAACAAACAGTATTATTTGCTTCTAATAAACAAACAGAATGACATACTGCTAGTAAACAAACAGTATTACTTGCTGCTAATAAACATAGTGAGATGCAAACTGCTTGAATAGTTTCTAGTAACACAATATAAAGGTGCACCGCATAATTACAATTTTTCTCTTTCTTCAACAAACACATCTTATTTGTAGCCTACAGTAACGTGATATGAAAGTCAAAAATGCATATGTTTCTTTGTTAGTGAAATCATTTTTATTTTAATGTCCCCCTGTGAGAGAGCGGTAAATTTAATGACTTACAACTTTAAAATCCGGGGTTCGATTTCTTGCGGTAGACACAGCAGATATCCCAAAGTGACTTTGCTCTAAATACAAACAATATTTTTATAATTTTGCTTTCATTCCAAAACGACTAACTTCATGTTACCAGATGTCAAATATAACAAACTTTCTATGATTCGTTTGCATAACTGAGATGACAACTTATATATATCAATACCGTATACTTATTTTATGGTGCTGTGGTGACCTGGGATTTCTACCTTCCTCATGCTCAAGTTGACCATACCTGAAGCAGCTATAGAAGCGAAAACTGCAGCTGTAAAGTTTATGTAGTTCACAGCATTGTATCTATTTAATGTTTTCATGTTCCTTTATACAAGTTAGTATGAAATACTCAGCTACCATATGCTTCGATCTGTAAACCTGTGTATATAAACTCAATATATTTGATGGTGAGATTAACTGACATCTGCCGAGACTTTGAACTTAAGATATCTATAACATTTTGTCACTCCATATGCAGAAAAAAAGGTGATTTTTTTTACTCAGTCTTGCCAGTAATTAAGCATATTGTGATATTCTCAAATACACTGATTTCCATCAGAGTGAAAACAGGAAATGCGACGGATACTATACAATGAAGTATACTTTTCTCTTTCCTTCATTCTGGTTGGGTCAGACACAAAGAAATAAACAGTACACGGAAATGTATAAAGCAACTATCTTTGTTTACAGTCAAAGTTAAAGTTAAAACAATAAAGGTGTTTACAGTACATCTTTAACTGCAGAAATATGGAAAGAGGGATGAATTTTCAAATTTAAGTTAAATAATTGCAAAGTTCCATTAAAGTAAAAGTTCTTTTAAAGTTAAAATTTATCAAGATGTTCAAAACCTCTAGAAAAACTGTATAAAAACTCTCAGATAAGTGTTAATCTTAAACAAAATTAACACAATCTTTAAGAAGTGCAAAATCTTTCTAACCGGATCTTAAAAAAGCAAAAAAATTGGTCTAAAACAAAGAAATCTCTCTTCAACAAAAGCTATCCAAAACAAAAAGATAAATCATATATATACAACACTCAAATCAACTAGGAAGGGGTGTCAAAGCCCTCAAAACATCGCCCTTTTTACCACGAAAAACGATCACTGTCAGTATCTGTAAGAGATAACATTGTGACATCTTCGATGACTCAGCCAGTTCATTAAATAACAAAAGAAGGGAGAAACTTGGTAGTTCTCTCTTGTCTGATGTTCTAAATTAAGATCAACTCAAAATTTCAAAAGAATTATCTGGTAACGGAGACAAAAACATATGATACATTTCTTTTCGCCCCTTTAAATTCAGGCTGATCCCGTTGACCCTAGTTTTAAAACTTAAAAACTAATCAAAACATTGATTAGTTAAACTCAATTGGTCAAACACCGCCGTAATTTGCTCTCACCCCTGTAAAATACTTGTCTAACAATACAAACAACACTTGGGGAAAAAACAACGTTACACAATACAATGAAATAAAATACTTTAACGAGGATAAATTATCCCCTTTAGGAGGGGGTGGAAAACAGAAATACCTTGCAAAAACAATACGAATGATCATGAAATTAAACACAATGCACAAGACCCCTTAACAGTATCAAACATAACATGCAACGGCCATTCAAAACACAAATAAAATATGTTATATGAAAATGCGATACAACAAAAAGTTTGTTTTTTGTTTGTAATTAGGCACAAGGCTACAAAATGGGCTATCTGTGCTATGTCAACCACGGGTATCGAAACCCGGATTCTAGCGTTGTAAGTTCGCAGACATGCCGCTGTGCCACTGGGGGTACAATAAAAAGTATACAAAATAATAATAAAAACCTTTTGCATAACAACATCCTTTATAATTAAACAACATATTCACGTGAAACCCTACATAACCTAAAATCAAAACACAAAAGAAACACATTGTAAAACAAAAAATAATCAAAACACAAAATGAAGCAAATAATGTTCAAGCAAAATAAATATTTAAAACTTACATGAAAATAAACTTATTAAATCACAAAATGCAACATAAGCCCTATTAAATTGTAAAAAATATACATAGTTATAAAGGTGCACCGTTTAAAATACACGTATTTACAAAGACTATGGCTACAATATGACACAAAACAAGAGGCGTCGTTAGGCACTCTCCACACATAGCTTAAAAGCAAACATTCAAAACTGCTGCATATTTTGTGAACTATGGAACGCCATTGCTCGAGACTGATGAAAGCCAATCAGCTGTAAGAACTTCAAAATGACGTCACCTGTGCTTAGCTGTGATAACAAAATAGGCATGGATCATCTGATATACATGTAATTATTTGTCATTTATTTGTGTCAGTTTTATAATTAAAATGGATAATATTGTGAAAGTACAAGGATACAGTTTCGAGCCAGAGTTTATAGATGAAGAACTGTCTGTTCTGACCGAAAATATCCAGATCCAAACAGAGAATAGCAGTAACAGTGACCTTGAATTGGTTGATATAAGATCAGACCATCTAGGAAACATTGACTAGTGTAGTTGCGAGGAATGTTTGCAATGATAATGGATATTTTTGTTGTAAGGAGTGTCCAAAGGTCAGAGAAAAACTTACAGAACTGGATCATGATGGGTGTATCATATTACATGAAAGATTCAATACGCTGTGTTTGGATCGTGATGTTTTGCGACTGGCACTACTTACGATACGTGATTCATTGAGAAAAGACCCATTACCTGATCCAATCCCAAACAGGATGAAATTCATTTTAGAATTGTTTGTGACAACAACAACATTAGTAATAATAATAACAGTAATAATGAACGAATCTGTACGTTTAGCTGCTTATAGATATTACACGTATTGGGTGCATGGTAAATTAGGAAAAGGAAACAGAAGACCACGCTTTAATTATTTACATTTATAGATTTATTTTATTTACAAGTGTTCACTATTGTATGAAGATTTTCTCACAAGTCTGTTGCCATTTTACATTTCTGTTCTCTGTACTTTTCCTTTCTTGTCGTGGTTGTTTGTGATAAAAAAAATAGATGGGAATGCCTCAAGAGACAAAACTATCATCTTCTTTATGTGGTGCAATCTCATATTTAGGATTAACAAGCAAACATTGTTCTTCAAAATGATCTTGACATATTGTTTGTTTGTTTTGAATTTCGCGCAAAACTACACGGGGGCTATCTGTGC